TTTTAAAAAAAAAAAAAAAAAAAAAAAAAGTCCTGTGAACGCTGACCCATGGCACTGGATATTTTTCCAAATATCATTTGGGGCTGGCCAGTAGCTCACTTGGTTAGCCTTATAACACCAAGGTCACGGTTTAGGATCCCCATAGCTGCCAGCCGCCTAGGTAAGTAAATAAATAAATTTGAACATAGTACCAAATACAGAGTCTAATGAAAGGTAATTCTCACCCTGTCTCCTAGCCAGTTCCCATCCCCCGTTCCACAGCATCATGTTTAATGGTTCATTCTGTGTTATAAGGACGTACCATGAGTGATTGATCTGGACCCTTATTATCGGACAGATAAGTTGTTTCCAATTTTCTCTGCTATAGACAATTGTAGTTTCCTTGAAGGGCTAAGCCTCTGGTCTTAGTTGGGAGGGGCAAGATCCACTGGCAAACTCCAACCGCCAGTTTCCGCTCCTGGATCCGTACATGGCTCTATATATACACTTACTACACTCAGGCGATCCCTGTACTTACTCGTGTCTGCCATCTGGCTCTGAGCCTCCAGTGGCCGGGGTCCTTGGCTGACGTCCCCCACTTATCCACCCAGTACAGCTGGGGGACTCAGTTAATAATAATAACAAACATTTACTGATGGCTTTCTCTGTTCCAGAAATTGTGCTAGGCACATTAGGTACATCGTGTCATGTAATCCTCCTTGTAACTCTAGGAGTTAGGGATTAGAATGTTCCCTATTTTATAGAGGAAAAAAGTGAGGCTAAGAGAAGTGAGGTAATAAAAGCCAATGTTTATTGAGCGCTAATCATGTGTCAGGCACTCTTCTATGGCTTTACACAGATAATTTCGCTAAATACTCAAAATAACCCTGTGTGTCCTGGTACCAGCCAGTTGCCAAAAACAAACAACAACAAAAATAACCCTGTGTGATAGGTTCCATTATTACTTCCATTTTACAGAGGAGGCAGAGAGAGGTTAAATGACTTACCCTAAATCACACAGCTAATTAGACAGGTTCAATGCCAGAGTACAAGCCACTGTGCTATACAGCTTTTACACATTAATTTATTCAACAAATATTTACTGAGCACTTACTTTGTCAGCACTGTGCTACACATTTGGTATAAATCAGTAAACAAAACAGACAAAATTCTCCCCTTGAACTTCCTCAATCTGATAAAGGGCATCTACAAAAAACCTACAACTAGTAACATTCTTAATGGAACAAAGCAAAGTGCTCTATCACCACTTCCAATCAATGTTGTATTGGAGGTCCTAGCTCATTGAATAAGTCAAGAAAAAGAAATAAAAGGCATAAAGATCATAAAAAAAATTAAAACTGTCCCTATTTGCATATGATGTGATTGTTTATGTAGAAAATCCCAAGGAGTTAACAAAACAACTACTAAAACTAATAGGTGAATTTAGCAAGGTTGCAGGAATCAAGATCAATATACAAAAATAAACTTTATGTCTGATAGAGTTTGTACTTCTTGTCCCCGCCAAAACTCATGTGAGATTTGATCCCCAATGTGGCAGTGATGGAAACTGATTGAGTCATGGGGGCGGATCCCTCATGAATGGATTAATGCTCTCCATGGAGGAGGAGGGCCTGAGTGAGATCTTGCTCTATTAGTTCCCGCAAGAGCTCGGCGATTAATAGACCCTGGCACCTCCCCTCTCTCTCTCTTGCTTCCTCTCACCATGTGATCTGCGTGTACCTGCCAGCTGTCTCTCACTTTCTGCCACGAGTAGAGGCAGCTTGAGGCCCACACCAGGTGCAGCTGTTCCAAAATCGTAAGCCAAATAAACCTCTTTTCTTTATAAATTACCCAGTCTCAGGTGTTCTGTTATAGCAACACAAAACTAATACAATGTTTATATGCTAGCAGGAAACCATTGTAAAGTGAGATTTTAAATAATTTCCTTTGCAATAGCATTGAAAACCAAAATACTTAGAAATAAATTTAGCAAAAGATGTGCAGGATTCCAATACCAAAAATAAAATACTGCTGAGACACATTAAAGAAGGTCTAAATAAATGGAGAAATATACCACATTTGTGGACTGGAAAAAACCTTGCTTGCCTTCATGGGGCTTACATTTTAGAGGGATAGGCAGAAAATAAGCAGTATACATGCCAAATAAGTAAATTATAGGGAAATCCAGGGGACTGTGGGAGCTTAGAGAGGGCACCTGACCTTACCTGGATATGGGATCACAAGGAGGTGTCTGAGTTAAAACCTGAAGTATGAGTAGGCATGGACCAGATAAAGAGTGACCAGAGCCTTGCAAAAGCTCAGGAAGGATTACAGTGAGTATAGGAGTCTGAACATAAACAACAAAATAAATTCTTTTATTTTACCAATTATTTACCATCACAAGATGGTTTCTTGACTGAACTATGGGCAGCTGTGACAATAATTTTTTTTTCTTTTTTTTTAAAGATGACCAGTAAGGGGATCTTCACCTTTGACTTGGTGTTGTCAGCACCACGCTCTC